GGAACAGCAGGCCGGCCGGTTCCCGAGTGCGCAGGAGGAAGGACACAGTGAGATTGGGGCCTGGCAGCTCACGGAGCAGAAAGGAGGCAAAGCTCAGGGTGCCCCTCAAGCCAAAGGTGGCAGCAGGGATCTCTGCAGGAAGAGAGGGTGCCAGGTGTGAGGCCGCAGAGGGGGAGCCCAACTGCAGGTGCTCCTTCCCACCTGGCTTAATCCTCACCATCGGCGCACGTGGGACCACTGTAGGGCCGCGGGCAGTCACAGCGGAAGTGAGTCCACAGGTCCACACAGGCCCCTCCGTGAGCACAAGGCAGAGGCTGGCACTGCTCCCGGCGGTCACAGCCCAGCAGGATGTTGCCGCCGAGATCCTCGGGAAGTAAGAGGTGCCCATCCACACGCATGTCCTGGATGCAGCCTGCAAAGGCCGGGCCACCCAGCTGGGCAGAGCACAACCCAACAGGTGGTGGGGCCGCTGACGCCCTGGGAGCCGGGGCCACAGGACCAGAGGCCACGCAGAGCCGGGCAGGGCAGCCCTCGTGCCAGAGCCGTAGCTCAAGGGTCCCTAGGTGGAGCGCCACCTCCACCCGGTGCCAGTGGCCATCACTTACAGCCAGGTCCGGCAAGCTCAGGGCGAGCACCGTGGTGCCGTTACTACTGAGTGTGGCCTGAAGTGAGGCCCCCACCAGTGCCAGCTCCAAGGTGTCCTGAGGGTCAGTGCGAGTGACCAAGGCCCCAGAAAGCACCGTGGTGCGGAACTGCAGTGCCAGGCCCCAAGGGCCACCAGCTGGCACTGCTGCCGGCACAGGGCTCCCAGCCAGTACGGAGAAGGTGGTGTTCTGGCCACAAGACGGTCCGTGGGTACCAGGTGGGCAGTGGCAGGCATAACTGTGGACCCCAGACTCGAAGATGGGAACGCAGGTGGCAGCTGGTGGGCATGTGTGGCCCTGGCAGCCCGTGAGCTGTACAGAACAGTCGTGCCCACCCCAGGCCTCTGGGCACCAGCAGACATAGCCCGCCACGGTGTCATCACAGGTTCCGCCATGGAGGCAGGGCTCCGACAGGCACTCATCCACGTCTTCCTGACACGTCGGGCCTTCAGGAGAGATCAGGCCCAGGCTCAGTAGCGCCATGGGCAGAACCGTAGTCCTGGCCCAGAACTTACATGCCTGTTGTGATGGGGCCCTCAGCACCTATCAACCAAACCAATTCCCAAAGACTTTCTCACGGTCCGTAGGCCAGAATCCAAGACGCCTCCTCCCTTGTCGTGGTGTCTCCATGTCCTGCGGACTGGATCCCCTGAACACTCCCCAGTCCCCCTTCCTCCCACCCAGGTCTCCTGCCTAGCCAGGTCTCTGGGCCACAGTCCCGCAGGCTCCGGGCCTCCTGCCTTTGGAGCCTCTCCCTTGCGTCTCCACCAGTACGCAGGGATCTACCTCTCAAGCGTCATCTGCCCAGGCTCCTCTGCTCCTGAAGGGCCAGTTGTTTGCCTGGCATCCGAGACCCTCTCACGGGCTGGTCCCTAAGAGGCCCTCAGGCTGCAACCCTGCTCCCTATGGGCCTGGCCCTGTCCATTCCTCCAAGCATTTCCTACAAAGTCCTGCCTCTAGAGCTTTGCTAGTGCCGTTCCCTCCACTTGATATGGTTCATCCTCCTTTATCCTGCCTTTCCAACTTCTGTTCATCCTGCAAAACCCAAACTTAAAGAACCTGGAGTCTTTCTATGACTTCCAACACCAAACCACCCTTTCACTCCCCACTCCTGGGCCCAGCTCCCCAGAACCTGGTACGGACAATGTGTTTACTCATCCAGAATCTCCAGGGGCCAGAACAGCCAGCAAAGGGCCTGGTCTGGCTTTGATGCACAGGGTAACGAGCCAGGCCAGGGGTGCACATCTGGGGCATTGTGCGTAGCCCTGCCTCCCACTCCTCGGTCGTCAGAGCTAGGACCCCCACACTGTGAAGGGGCTGCTCTGGCACCAACTTGAGTGAAGAGGCCACAGGCCAACCCCAGTATGGCCAGAGCTTCCATGAAACAAACCAAGGCCAGCCCTGCCCGTGTCTCCTAGCAGGAGGAACCAGGCCCACAGACGCCACCGGGACGAGAAGCCTGGCCCGAGGTGGCCCGCAAACACCGCGGTCTGCTGCCATCCAGCAGCCATCAGCTCCAACCTCCCCCTGCCCAAAGCCCCAGCCCCTCCATACCTGCTAGGAGCCACAGGCCCCCCAGGAAAGTTCCTAGAGCCCACGGCCCCATGGTGTCCCCCTGCAGCTGGGATGAAAGCGCCAGGCAGCGCCGAGGTTGGGGCACAGACCTCCCCACCTGGCCCAGCAGCCTCCAGAGCCA